CCTCGGAACGTTGCCACATCTGGCTCATCTCCATGTGCGACTCGGCCACTATTCGGTGAGACATTAAGAAGGAAACTGTACATTGCAGATGCTACTTTCTACGTGTATAAAGGTAGCCTTTTAAAAGGTTTAAATAAATGGGTGGGTGCATTACTACTTACCTGCAGATTACTGCATTTCGCAATAGTCATGGTCATTGCATGGATCTGTAATGCAATCAAAAGAAAACAGAAAACTGAAAATAGCATGAGTTGCATAAAAATTCAGTGCATTGCATAGTAAGGGGAGGTTTTTATATTTCAATCATGCTTATTAGTATACATTGTGTGATGTAACATATTTTATGTGAGATTTAACCTTGCTTTTTTGTTCAATGAAATTGTTCAGTTAATTAATAATCACATTATACTCTGATAATGCTTTCTTCTCACCATTATTGCTGCGGTATTTTTTTAGATGTGCAGTTGACTGCAGGTACTTCAACACTTGTCCATTCTTCGCCATTAGCTTGGCCTTTTTTCCCATAGAGGTGGAGGACCTTGTAAGGTCTGGTATAGCTTTTGCCAAGGGTCAGGCCTTTTTTGTTCCTCTTTATCATGTTTACTTTGAGGACTACATCCTCTTCTTTAATAGGACTCGCCTAATTATGAAAATACCATGAAAAAACATGGTTTAAAGTAACACTATTATGGTTCTCGCAAGTCACGTTAGACGTACGCCTGACGTCAGAACCCTCTTCTGTGCATGTGCATCACCCAGTACGCTTCGCAGCGTGTGTTGTTGATTAAACCACAACTGGATGATGCTCATGCGCAGAAGAGGCGTCTGATGTCAGGCGTACGCCAAACGTGACTTGTGAAAACCGTGATAGTGTTCCTTTAATGGTATAATTAAGGCTTTGAACATTAGTAACTTAGCATTTATGATAAGCTATGAAAACGTATTTAATAAATTAATGGAAACTAACTGATTTTCACTTTCATTGATTTTCAAGGTCTTTTCTTATAAATAAAGTACAAAGCAGCATACAGTTTATCTATTATTCTCGCATGTGTGTGGGTCTGTGTGCGTAAATGTGTAAGAGATGTATAAAATAACTGTACTTACTTTCCCCTTGCTGCATCTTTCTGAATGCTTTCTTTTGCTTTGATTGAGCTTTTTCAATATTCACCCTTGCTGCATTTTCACACCACTCCTTTCTTTTGCTAATTTTTTCCAAGTGCTCTTCAATTGCACGCATGGAAGAAGGTACAATTAAACTTTCCTGCAACTAAATACAAAGTAGGTGAAAAACGTACCTAGCTTTGGTTTTTTTGGTGGCTTCCGAACGAATAATGAAAACATAGAAAACGTGGATATATACAGGACATTTTGTGTTCGGCGAAATGTTTTTACAAGTAATCTAACTTGATGTGTTGCAGACATAAGGTGTTAAGCACAGCGCAAGAGTCATTAACCCAAGGGATGCTTACGCTGAACACAGGAGCACATTTCGCCTGACCACCGTTTATCATGCCACACCTGCGACAAGCAAGGTGTAACTCTCGACCTCCTATAGTAGGTTATTCCTCCTGCGCTGGCTGTGATCGGGGGCTGGACAGCACCGATAGGGAAAAGTCCCTTCCCAAGGAAGAGTAAAGAATAATAATAGGATTTCTCTCTGGGTAAAATACACACAGCACGGGGTATAATTAGGTACGGTCTGTCACAGCAGGCTGGCTATGGTCAGAACAGCCCCTGTATTGGCTGAGAGCGGCTGCTCCCAGGAACGCAGCGCGGGCTGTGCGGGGGAGAGAAACTAGATCGCGTGTTATCGATATGACGGTTGCAACTTATAATAAACTACCTAATAATCTTACTCTTAGTCTATGTGTTTGACCATCGTTTAACCTGCACTACGATACACCACCTCAGCACGACCCTACACACTTAATTAATGTTACAACTTGCACTTGTGATTAAAAAACTAGCGAGTTATGCACCTCTATGTCACTTCCCCCCCCCAATACAAAGCTGGCTACGGGCCTGAGTTAGGGCATAAGCCCTTTGTGTACATTTCACATAATTTTACCAATTTTCTCAATGTAGTGCTTTCAGCCGCGCTATGCACAGCATCTATCGTCGTCGTGCTATTAGTTTAGAAACTTTCTTATGTTGATATGTTGCATTGAACAGGTTTTCTAATTCGCAACGTGGTAATCATACGTACCATGAGTACCATTACGCCACAGCTGGAGCTGTCATGTTGCAACTGATGGACACAGCTCGTGATCGTCCATTCTCCATTATTTTCTTTGTGATGTCGCAGGAAACCTCTGTTAAATGTAAAAGGTATTGAATTTTTTGCTCTCTTATTGATGTAACACTTTCTATTAAAATTTTACATAAACACAAAACATGCAAGTAAATACAAAAATTACGTACATTTATGGTAACACAACAGTTGTATAGTAGTTTCATAAACCTTAATCCGACATGGTTATATAAAGGCCAAACCTCATTACATTTATGTCAGGCAGCGTTTCCCTGGAGTTATTTAAATCTATGTATATTCAAAAGCCCATGTAAGTATGTATATGTCTGAATATACTGAGGTTGGTCAATACCATGTTGCGTTTCTATAATTAGCAACAGCATTGTGATGATCAGATTGCAGGACAGGACACTTAGTTATAGATACCTTCAGTTGCGCAACAGTTTGTGGGTCATGCCCGCATTTTCCCCAAGACTGTTGTAGTAAATCAATTTTTTTTTCTGGATCAACAACCTGAAAGTAATATAAGGCTTACATCAAAATGGTTTTAATTGGAAATGTACAGCCATCATCATTCCTTGCAGTGACATGCTGTTTACTTATAGCATCTGCATGTCCAAAAATATAGTGGGAAAATGGTGACATTTTGACATGATGTAATGGTATTTTAAGTTAATTTGATGGTATGTAAATGTTCAACATAAATTTACATTAACATTATATCCCCAACATAAGCAGCAAATTGTGCCTCCTGTGAATCCATCCTCCAACCGTAGACTATATAAATCTATCTTTGATATTTCTTCACCTTCATATTGCTTTAAACGCACTCAAAAATATAGCAAAGTAGCTAGCAATCTGATGTATTACAGAACTCCAGAGACGGCTAGCTTCTAAAGAATGGTGCACGGGTCACTATATCAATTAGCAGACATAAAGCTGTAATAGTTGCATACCACCAACAACCAGTGACATCCTCCAGTGTTAACTGGGCAGAGAGTTCTGTTGTGCGTAGAGAGCATCATGTTCTAAAAATCATACAAATTCCTTGTAAGCATGTTACCTTACATACGCATACAATACACATTCGTGTATTGTATATTTTCATGAGATTACATGTTTAAAAATACTACTGGTGTTAACTGCCTGTCAGAAATGTGCAGGTGTGCAAACAATTTGTTGGATGTACCTTATGTTTAACAGACAGACTCCTGTAAATTCCTTGAAAAATCTGGCCAACAGTCACACAATTCATGGCATGATACTTCTGCAAGAAATTGTTCCAACAATTTTTTAATATAGAGGTTTAACATTGACTTAAGTATGAGCAGGTAGTATGTGGCTGTTGTGAATGTATTTTAAGAATTCCTGGATATTAGGCAGTAACGTTTTTTACATATGTTTTTCACAATATTACCTTGGCTTGGGCCTCTTTTATGGTGATTGTCAAGTACCCATCGATGACTTTATCATTTAGCCACTGGTCCGGCATCAGCGTGGCGAGATCCGTGTTAAACATGGTGATTTTACCACCTTCTGAGTTTAAGACAGCCTCAACTCTGGTGAAATCAGGATTTTTTGTGTGGAATGCCCACATCTTTTGTATATCTGTAGTCAGTCAAAAGAAACAGTGTATAAGAAAATCAATTAATATCAGGCTTAGTGAAAAGATTGGTGCACTGCTTTGCACTAGTAGTACATTTATCTGCATTGTCATTTCTAAAAGAACAGAAAAATTTACCCCATAAAACTTAACATGGTGATTGGATATGGTTTACCTTTATAAAAGCACGGAACTGCTTCCCTGCTTTGTTCTGTCCAATCTTTCTTTTTGCGATCTAGCCAAACACCATGTATATTGAATGAATATATTAGGTTTTAAGTTCTGGAACTGGGTTGGTACATAATGAGTGCATATCAATATCCTATCACCCATTACCTGAAACTCTGCTACAAGCAAAAAAGACAGTGAAATTTGTTGTTCCATCCAATATCTCACTAGCTTTTAACTCTGTTTCTCGATTCTTCACTTGGTTTATTTACCTGAATAGGGCTGTTGGTTGTCCAGTAGTAGATCGGGAGCCTTGGCACGTTGCCACATCTGGGTCATCTCCATGTGCGACTCGGCCACTATTCGGTGAGACATTAAGAAGGAAACTGTACATTGCAGATGCTACCTTTGACAAGTGTGTTGCGGTGCACTATGCTCTGTATTGTCTAATTACGTTGATCGTTAATGCTGTTTATTTACTTGAACAGGGCTGTTGGTTGTCTAGTACAGGCGCGGATTTAGGCCGGTTTGCACCGGTTTCCAGAAACCGGTCAAACAGGCTGGGGGGCTTCAGAGATTGTACCCTCACAAAATTCCACCAACGAATGCAACGAAAGATAAGCCTCATTTTTTTAATTCCCGGGGGGCATTATGCACCGGACCCCCCCTAGCTGTGGGGCTAGAACTTATTTGCAAACTGGTCAACCCAAAACCCCGTTCTGGAGATTCCGCCCTCTGCAGTAGTGGATCGGAGGAGCCTGCGGTAACGTTTGCCCACAGTTCTGGCTCATCTCCATGTCGCGATCGGCCCACTATTTCGGATGAGACATTAGAAGGGGAAACTGTACATTTGCGGATGCTATCTTTCTACGTGTATAAAGTGGTTAGCCTTTGAACAACGGGTTTAGAATTAATATGTCGGTGGCGTGCATTTACTATCCTTACCTTAGGCTAGATTACTGCATTTTCGCACATAGTAATGGTCAATTGCATGGAACACCTGTAATGCAATCAATGAAGGAAAAACAGGTAAAACTGAAAAATAGCCATGAGTTGCATAAAAAATCTTCATGCATGCCATAGTGAAGGGAGGTCTATTGATATTTCAATTCATTGGACTTATTAGATATACATTGGTCTGGTGATGCCTAGATCAATATTTTAATGTGAGATTTAACCTTGCTTTTTTTGTTTCAATGAAATTGTTCACAAAGCTTAATTTAATAATGACATTATTACCTCTGATAAGGGCTTTCTTACTCCACCATTAAATTGCTGGCAGGTTTTTATTAAGATGTTGCAGTTGGGGACTTTGCAGTTACTTCAAAACAGCTTGGCTCTTATTCTTAGCGCCAATTAGCCTTTGGCCTTTTTTTTCCCATACGAGGTGGAGGACCTTGTATAAGGTCTGTATAGGCGGTTGCCAAAGAGGTCAGGCCTTTTTTTGTTCCTCATTTATTCATGTTTACTGTTGAGGGAATACATTGCCTGTTCTTTCAATAGCGAACTCCGGCCTAATTATTCACCAAAATAACCTGCTGAAAAAACATTGGTTTAACAGTAACAACTATTAATCGGGTTCTCGCAAAGTCACGTTAGAACGTTTATGAGCCTACGTCAGAACCCTCTTCTGTGCATGTGCATCACCCAGTTGACGCTCGCAGCGGTGTAGTTGTTATATAAAAACCACAACTGGATGACTGGCTCATTGCGCAGAAAGACGGCGCTTCTGCATGGTTCAGGCGTACGCCAAACAGTCGAACTCTGTGAAAACCCGGATAGATTGTTTCCCTTTAATGGTCAATAATCATAAGGCTTTGACATTGCTTAACCTAGCCATTTATGAGTAAAGCTATATAAAAACGTATTTAATAAATTAATGGGCAACAACTAACTGATTTATCAACTTTCATTTGACTTTCAAGGTCTTTTTCTCATATATAAATAAAGTACAAAGGTCAAGCCTACAGTTTATCTATTTAATTCTCGCATAGGATTGGGTCTTCGTGACACGTAATGTGTAAGTAGATGGTAGAACAATAACTGTTACTTACTTTCCCCTTCGCTGCATCTTTTTCTGAATGCTTGGCTTTATGCTTTGATTAGCTGTTGGGCAAATATTCACCCTTGCTGCAATTTTGTCACACCAATACCTTTTCTTTTCTAATATCTTGTTCCATTGAAGCTGAAAATTCCCGTGAATGAATCTCTTCAATTGCAACGCATGCGAAAAAAGCGTACCAATTACACTTTTCCTACCAAACTAAATTACAACAGTAGGTGAAAACGTACTCTAGCTTTTGTTTTTTTTTTGGTGGCTTCCGAACGATAATCTGAGAACATTAGAAAACGTGGATATATACAGCGACCATTTCCTGTTGTTCGGCGAAATGGTTATTTACAAGTAATTCTAACTTGATGTGTTTGCAGACATAAGGCTGCTGTTAAGCACAGGGGCGCAAGAGGCATTAACCAGAGGGATGCGGTTTACCGCTGAAAAAAACACAGGGAGCACATTTCGCTGACCACGGTTTATTGGCATGCCACACGGCGACAAGCAAGGCGTTACTCTCGACCCATCTCTATGGTAGGTGAATTTCCTCCTGGCGCTGGCTGTAGATCAGGGGGCTTGGACAGCACCGATAGGGGAAAAGTCCCTTTCGCCAAGGAAGAGTAAAGAATAATATAGGATTTCTCTCTGGGCCTACAATACACCACAGGCACCCGGGGTTTAATTTAGGTACGGTCTGTCCACAGCTAGGCTGGCTATATGGTCAGAACAGCCCCTTGTAATTGGCTCGAGGAGCGGCTGCTCCCAGCGAACGCAGCGCGGGCTGTGCGGGGGGAGAAACTAGATCGCTGTGTTATCGATATGAGGTTGCAACTTATAATTAAACTACCTAATAATCTTACTCATATCGTGTTTGACCATGGTTTAACGCTGCACTTACGATACACCACCAACCTCAGCACGACCCTACACACTTAATTAATGTTACAACTTGCACTTGTGATTAAAAAACTAGCGAGTTATGCACCTCTATGTCACTGTCTTCCACCTCAACTGGAAAGCGAGCCTCTCTGTGATGCATGAGGTAGAATGGTGAGAACTTTGTAGAATGCTGCGGTTTGCCTCGTAATGCAAAAAGTGCCGCATCTAGTACCACATCCCAATTGTCTTGATTCTCATTCACAAGCTTTTCCAGTATTCTATATCATCAGAAATAATTGTGAAGATATGGCTATGTCATACAATATTACATTGAGAAATTTCTTTTATTGACACCATATGTTACTAGTCGAAAGGAGATTATTTCACCAATCAATACATACTTCTTTATGTTGCTGTTAGTTTTCTCGTCCAACCCATTGGTTTGGGGATGATAAGCTGCGGTCATCAAATGACGGATGTTTAAGGTCTTGCATATGTCTTTGTTGATCTGGTAAAAAAAAAATAAATAAACTGAAGCATTTTTTACTTTTTAAAAATTACTTTTTTATACTGTCTGTTTCCATATCAAATTTATTCCTATTTTTGTGAGTACAACCAACACAAAGGGTTTTTGACGAATTTACAATATCCCTGGAACATTTACTCAACTGCATTGATGAATTCCTTTCCCAGGTCTGTTAATATTTTTTGGGTGGTCCCATGCCTATAGATGACCGTCATAAGACAACTGGCTATTGTTTCAGGTTTTTTTGTCTGGCATGGGAAACGCTTCCGGCCATTTTGTGAAGTAGTCTGTACACGTGAAAATGTACTTGTTTCCATTCTCGGTTGTCTTCAGTGGGCCAGGAAGATCAACACCCACCATCTCCCATGGCTCTGTCACCTGTTAAACAAGTACATATATAATAGTGATTAGTTAAGCAATGTTTAACTGGCTTTATAATATGTTGCTAAAAGTAAAATGCTCATCTACTTTTGAGTGTTGATGAACATATTTTTTCATTCTTACAATAAACATGTTTTATCTTATTTTCGCAAATCTTCTTGTATTACAAAATTTACTTGTATTGGTGTATATTTTGATTCAGTCTTTATAGATACTGATGCTGACATTTGACATTGATCACATATTGATACCTGAAAGAAATGGACTTTATCGGTTGAGAATCTTGCTTCATTATTTCACCACCTAACTGCATCAAAACATGTTTATATGAGAAAATGGCCCTTTTATTAATAGGTAAAAATACCTACTGGCACTGGTTACATTATTTAAAACTATATTAATTTTCATAGTGCTTACCAAGATGTGCATATACATACCATGTCTGCTACTGTCTTGTACATGCCTTTCCACCAGTACCTTTGAGCTATGGCCTTGTAGGGTTTTTTCCGTGTCTGTATGTCCTCCTATGCCAGAGGCATGAAATTCATCCAAGATCCTCCGGACCTCACTTCTACGTACAACTTTTCGCTCACTGTCTCTGTAGAAGAGCTCATTTCCTAGAGAAGAAATACTTGTAAGTGTAATTTGCATGTACATTGTAATATATACATACATTACTATTATAATATATTAATAATATATTAAAATTAATTAATATTAAAATTAATTAATATAATTAATTATAATATAATTATTATATTATTGTAATATAATATACATTGTATATTGTAAATTGTAAATGTACATTGCAATGTGTTCCCATCCCACAAACTCACAGAAACATTTCATAGTTCAACTGATATTTTCAAAGAAATTATAACATCTGCATTCTGCATACCTTCCAAATCCCATTGGTTGATACAAATCGCATGACTGAAACTGTTTTATAGTGCATTGTGACCCTAACCCTAACCCTATTAAAAATAAAAATAAATTAATTGTTGTAAAAAAATTATTTGTTGTTATTAAATTGTTGTAAATAAATCATGTAAATATTTGCGTTAATTAGGAAAAAATAGTTAAATGGATAAAGATAGAAAAATACAGAAAACAGATAAATAATAACAAGAGCCGCAGAGCGTCTGGGCTCATCTGAGGTCTGTTGCTACGGTTATAAACGTAACATTTAAATTGACTACGTCACGAATTTTCCATGGTAAAATTTGTAAAAAAAAAATTGCCATTTTTTATATTAAAAGTAAGAACTAACGATACTAAATATATCCTCAAACTCTCACCTGATAAAAATGTTTTTACATTGGTTAAATTTGCAAAAATCTAGTCGATTTGGTAATTTCTGTTGTCTCGCTCATGCACGCACGCCGCACATACGCGCTCACGCACCCACGTCGCACACACGCGCTCACGCACCCACGTTGCACACACGCGCTCACGCACCCACGTCGCACACACGCGCTCACGCACCCACGTCGCACACACGCGCTCACGCACACACGTCGCACACACGCGCTCACGCACCCACGTCACACACACGCGCTCACGCACACA